GAAAAGGCTTTAATACTTGACTGAGTGAAATAGGGTAATCCTTCTGTGGACGGGATCCGTCCACTGACCTGTGCCCTGGAGAGGGGGCAGCACATTCTACTGTGCTGTGGGAGTGGCTGAGCACTGGCACAGGTATCCCAGGGAGTTTGCTCAGTCTCCCTCTTTCGTGATATTCAAAAACCCCCTGGACATGGTCCTTGGCAGCTGACTCTATGTGGCCCTACTTGAGCTGAAGAGGCAGTGTGTGTGGATCAGCTGACTTGCAGGGGTCCCTTCCAACCTTGGCCATTCTGTGATTTCCTTATTCTGTGAGAGCAGCTGATGTGGAGCAGCTCTGGGTTCCCAGCCTCTGATGGGATGTAAGGTTATCTGTACTGTCATCTCCTTCTTTCTAGTCTTAGCGCTAATAAATGGCATTTTCAGGAATGCTGTGAAGAGGCTGAGTGCTTTTCTTAGTGAGGTCAGTGTCATTTTTGGTGCCCCAGCCTCAGGGTTTTCAGCCTGTGGGGAGGCTGGCTTATCCCAGGCTCACCACTGAGGTACTTTAGAGAACTGGGGATGTTCTCACACCCCATGTATCTCTTAAGGGGATCACTTAAGATACTTGCAGGCATCTAAGGCTGGAGGAAGTTGGTGCTGGACAGAGGATTCAACTACATGCCATTGTTTTAAGAGCAGCTCACCATCTCTGGCTTGCCCTGCAAGGGTAGATGTGAAGATGTCAACCTGGGCTCTCTGTAAGCACGGCCAATGTCTACCCTTCCTGTTCCTGTCTGTCTCTCATTCTTTTTGCCTCTTTTCTTTGTTTTCTTGTGTTTCCCTCAAAGCCTGTTGTGAGACCCCAGAAACCAGCCTGGAGGGACCTGCAGCCTGTCTCCCTTTGCTGGGCACATCAGCAGATGCCCTGTGGGAGTTTTACCACAGGAAAAGGGGAACACATTTTTGTCTGCTCCTTCTGTTCCCCACACTGGGAGTCTCCACTTGATGTGACCCCATTTTCCTCTTTAAACTCATTAAACAATTGTTGCAACCCTGCCTGTGTCCTTTATGTGGTCTTTCCACGTGCACACTACCTGTGGAGGGAGAAAGCCATTGTTTTGTGTGAGGAATTAGGTGGGGGGACAGGGAAACCCTCCATCACTCCTCGAGGCATTGGAGGGTGGGACACACTGCAGAGAGTCCTCTTTCAGACACTGCATCTTGAAGTTGAGGAAGACACCCCTAGTTACTCCACTGCCAACGACCGTAAGTCCTTGCCTTGCTCATGTGAACAGGAATCCTGACAGCTGCCAAGGCCATCCCACATCTCCAGAGCATGGGACCCTATGGTATGGGAGTTTGCCCTCACAGCCCCTCCACCAGAACTGCAGCATAGGGCAACAAATATGATGGAGGGATTGGAGCATCTCCCTTATGAGGAAAGCCTGAGAGAGAATAATAGAATCATCATCGTGGTTGGAAGGGACCTCTGAGATCATCGAGTCCAACCATAAAAAAACAACCAAACAAAAACAAAACCACCCACACCAAACAAACCAATGCCACACACAGCACCCCACCACATCACACCCACCCACAAACCAATAATCTTGGGCACTAGAGCATGCCTTGAAGAGCCTTGTCTACATGTTTCTTAAATACCTCCAGGGATGGCGACTCAACCACCTCTCTGGGCAGGCTCTTCCAGTGCCTGACCAACCTCTCTGTAAAGTAATTCTTCCTAATATCTAATCTAAACCTCCCCTGCAGCAACTTTAGACCATTTCCTCTGGTCCGGTCATTATTCACTTGGGAGAAGAGGCCAACCCCCACTTCTCTACAACCTCCTTTCAGGGAGTTGTAAAGGGCAATGAGGTCCCCCCTTAACCTCCTCTTCTCCAAACTAAACATGCCCAGTTCCCTCAGCCTCTCCTCATATAACTTGTTCTCTAGACCCCTCACCAGCTTGGTGGCTCTCCTCTGGACACGCTCCAGGACTTCAACGTCCTTCCTGTAGTGAGGGGCCCAAAACTGAACACAACACTCAAGGTGAGGCCTCACCAGCACCGAGTACAGGGGCACAATGGCTTCTCTACTCCTGCTGGCCATGCTATTCCTGATACAGGCCAGGATGCTGTTGGCCTTCTTGGCCACCTGGGCACACTGCTGGCTCATGGTAAGCTGGCTGTCCACCAACACTCCTAGGTTCTTTTCTGCTGTACAGCTCTCCAGCCACTCTTCCCCAAGCCTGTAGCACTGCCTGGGGTTGTTGTGACCAAAATGCAGGACCCGGCACTTGGCCTTATTAAACCTCATCCCATTGGCCTTGGCCAATTGATCCAGTCTGTCCAGATCCCTCTGTAGAGCCTTCCGACCTTCAAGCAGATCAACACTCCCACCTAGTTTGGTGTCATCTGCAAAATTACTGAGGGTGCACTCAACCCCCTTATCTAGATCATCAATAAAGGTGGGGTGCCCTGAGGGACACCACTGGTGACTGTCCACCAACCGGATTTCACCCCATTAATCATAACTCTCTGGGCACGGCCATCCAGCCAGTTTTTTATCCAGTGAAGAGTACATAATTCACTACCTTCTCCAGGAGCTGGAGCCCTGCCTGTCTCCTTTATGTTTTCTTTCCACCCACACACTCCCTGTTGGGGGAGAAAGCCATTGTTTTGTGTGAGGAATTAGGTGGGGGGACAGGGAAACCCTCAGGCCAGGATGCTGTTGGCCTTCTTGGCCACCTGGGCACACTGCTGGCTCATGGTAAGCTGGCTGTCCACCAACACTCCTAGGTTCTTTTCTGCTGTACAGCTCTCCAGCCACTCTTCCCCAAGCCTGTAGCACTGCCTGGGGTTGTTGTGACCAAAATGCAGGACCCGGCACTTGGCCTTATTAAACCTCATCCCATTGGCCTTGGCCAATTGATCCAGTCTGTCCAGATCCCTCTGTAGAGCCTTCCGACCTTCAAGCAGATCAACACTCCCACCTAGTTTGGTGTCATCTGCAAAATTACTGAGGGTGCACTCAACCCCCTTATCTAGATCATCAATAAAGGTGGGGTGCCCTGAGGGACACCACTGGTGACTGTCCACCAACCGGATTTCACCCCATTAATCATAACTCTCTGGGCACGGCCATCCAGCCAGTTTTTTATCCAGTGAAGAGTACATAATTCACTACCTTCTCCAGGAGCTGGAGCTCTTTAGCCTGGAGAAGAGAAGGCTGAGGGGAGACCTTATTAATGTTTACAAGTATCTGAAGGGTGGGTTGAGGAAGGATGGAGCGAGACTTTTCAGTGGTTCCCAGTGACAGGACAGTGGGGCCACAGGCACAAGCTGGAACATGGGAAGTTCCATTCAAATATGAGGAAAAACTTCTTTCCGGTGAGGGTGGCAGAGCCCTGGAACAGACTGCCCAGGGAGGGTGTGGAGTCCCCTTCTCTGGAGATCTTCAAGACCTGCCTGAATACAGCCCTTTAGTCTGGAGAAGAGAAGGCTGAGGGGAGACCTTATTAATGTTTACAAGTATCTGAAGGGTGGGTTGAGGAAGGATGGAGCGAGACTTTTCAGTGGTTCCCAGTGACAGGACAGTGGGGCCACAGGCACAAGCTGGAACATGGGAAGTTCCATTCAAATATGAGGAAAAACTTCTTTCCGGTGAGGGTGACAGAGCCCTGGAACAGACTGCCCAGGGAGGGTGTGGAGTCCCCTTCTCTGGAGATCTTCAAGACCTGCCTGAATACAGCCCTGAGTAATGTGTTCTAGGCAATCCTGCTTTGGCAGGGGAGTTGGACTAGATGATCTCTAGAGGTCTCTTTCAACTCTGACAATTCCGTGATTCTGTGACAGATGTTCTGCTGGATCTCATACATACAAAGAAGGGAGGGCTTGTCACAGATGTGAAGATCAAAGACAGCCTGGGCTGCAGTGACCATGAAATGATGGATTCCAAGGGGTGGGAGGAGGGTAAATACCAAATTCACAATCTGGGCCGGTAGGACAGCACACTTTGGTGTCTTTAAAGATCAGCTTGGAAAATTCCTGTGCCTGGAGGCAACAGAGGCCCAAGACATCTGGTTAATATTCAAGGATTGCATCCTGCAAGCTCAAGGGCAGTCCATCCCAATGAGCAGAAAGTCAGGAAAGCATGAGAGGAGGCCTGCATGCATGAACAAGATGCTCCTGGCCAAATCAAAACACAAGAACGAACAAAGCACAGATAACCTGGAAGGAATCCAGAGACATTGTCGAAGTGTGCAGGGATGAGGTTAGGAAAGCCAAAACCCAGCTGGAACGTACTCTGAAAACGGGTGTCAAAGGCAACAAGAAGGACTTCTCTAAGGGCACAGGTGACAAAAGGAAGGTTGGGCATATGTGGTCCCACTGCGGAAGGAATGGGCCTTCTCTGATGCCATGCAGGCTGGTAACACAGGACATGGAAAGGCTGAGGGGTTGAACACCTTCTTAGCCTCAGTCTTTACAAATAAGATCAATATTGAAGAATTCTATGTCCTTGAGACTGGGAACGAGGAGACATACCATTGGAAAAGGATAAGTTCAGGGAATACTTAAGCAAACTGGGGGTCTGTCTCAAATTTTTGACATCTTGTAGACAATGGTAACACTCAGGATTTAGGAAGTCAAAAATCTTCTCCTGATTATCTGTGTGCCATGCCAAGAATGGGTTTTTTCTTCAAGCCTGACACTCTCCTCCCATAATATCTTGGTGGTGGTAGAGGGCCCATATAAATTTAATCTTCAGCAGCATTGAAATAATAGGGGAAATAACTTTTGCAGCCCTCAATGCCCAGAGTTGGAGAAGGCTGCTTAGTTTCCTGGGTAAAAGATTAAAAGAGTTGATGAAACCCAGCAGAGCAGCCCACCTGCATCCTACAAGTGACCACTGGAGTGAGTTAGGAGAGAAAGACAAGGCACATCCTCAACAGGGAAAGCCCTTGGGTGACCAGAAAGATTCCAGTGTTGGGAGCAGGTAGGTCCCTTCCTGTCACTGCAGCCATGGGCAACCCCACCAGTGTGCCCCAGGCCAACATCACTTGCCTGCACTGCGCCCATCCGGCACCTGAGCTGAGGCTTCAGCAGGCACTGACACGTTCCTGCCCCAGAAATCATGGGGTCTCTCAGTCCCAGCACTCAGAAGAAGCCACAGTAAGGGAAGGTGGACAGCGTAAGCAAGGAAATGAGAAGGCGGCATCAGAGAAAACAACCACCCAGGCCATGTCATTAGCTGAGGTGTTTTCTGCTCCTCATGAGCACCTTAGAAAATTGCCACTTCTGTAGAATCTTCGTCTGGGCCTGGGGCAGGTCAGGGCCACCATAAAAGCCAGCCCAACTCCTTGCTCTCTCATCCACTTCTCTCTTCTCCTTCTCCTTGGGAACCAGGTGAGTCTGAAGCCCTTTCCTCGTGTTTTTTTTCTGCTCACACAGATGTGTACTCCTCCATGCTGTGGTGGGCTGTGGTTGCCATGAGAGATGGAAGAAGGGTGAAGGCCTGACTCAAAGAGTGTCCGGGACTCAGTTGAGGGAGCTCTTCTCTTAAGAGATAGGCAGAAGACTCCTTGGGTATGGCGACGCTATATTACCTAGCGAAGAGGTTCTGGATCTTGGCTGAGGTTGCCCTTCACTGAAAAGATTGGCAGCATTCTGGTTGGGTCTGGGTTATCCTTAGAGAATTGTGTCTGCGTACCCTTTTGTCCCACTGCAGAGTTTCTACCTTCTGGCTCAGCAGGTGTCTATGACATACTTGCAGTGGAGTGACAGACTCCTAGTAAACTGCTCCTCATCTTCCTGTGCTCTACTTCCTCTCTGCTTTTTCTTCCAGGTGCACTGCAGCTCAGAGACATGTCCTGCTACAACCAGTGCCAGCCCTGCCAGCCCTGCGGCCCAACCCCACTGGCCAACAGCTGCAACGAGCCCTGTGTCAGGCAGTGCCAGAACTCCACCGTTGTCATCCAGCCCTCCCCTGTTGTGGTGGCCCTGCCTGGTCCCATCCTCAGCTCCTTCCCTCAGAACACCCTGGTGGGCTCCTCCACCTCTGCCGCAGTTGGCAGCATCCTCAGCTGTGATGGAGTGCCCATCACCTCTGGGTGCTGTGACCTCTCTGGCATTTCCAGCCGCTACTATGGTAGAAGGTGCCCTCCCTGCTAAATCCACTGGTGATAGCCCCAATAAGGACCCCCAGGAACCTGAAGCTGGACTGAGGACAGAGCTACTGGCCATTGGTTTCAGAGAGGTTGAGCATCCAGTGTTGCCCTTCTGAAGGAGAGCTGTTGAGGCTCTCTGAAATCATGGCCAAATTCTGCTTCCCTGCCTTATTCTCTCTCCCATCTCTTTCTTGTCTTCTGTTCTTCTGGGGTAAAAGACCCACTAAGCCCATGTGGGGCATCTGCTGGAACATCCTCCCTTGTGGAAAGACCCGTGGGATCTCAACTGTGGCCAATGGGCACAGACTTCTGGCAGCTGCTGGTCCTTCCCCTGCTCTGGTCACCTTCTCTACAAGTGAACTTGTTTCCCACTTCAGAGTCATTAAAGTTCTCTGCATCCTTCCGCTGCCTCCATGTAATCCTTTTCTTGGGGACATGGTTTCATATTGCCAAGGAAAAATGCCATTGTCTTGGGTGGTGGGAAATAAGGTGGGGGCATAAGCAGAAGAGTAAGGGAAGAGTGGGACACAGGGCAATGGGTCTCTTCCAGTCACTGTCTCTTGGAGCTGAGGCAGATATTCCCCAACTCCTCCACAGCCAGTGGGTATCAGGCCCTGTATTCCAGCATCTCTGCTCACATACGATCCCCTGGCCTCAGAGCATGTCGTGCAGCAGGGAGATGGACCACTGCTTTCCCTTAGAGAGGAGCCTGGTGCTGCTGGGTGCTCTGAGGGGTCAGCAGCTCAGAAGCCTGTGCGGAAAGGAATCCCTTGTGCTCTGGAATGCCCTGTGCTGGAGAAAGAACCTCAGTCAGAAGATATCCCCAAGGGATGCAGGAGTGACGATGGTGTGAGAGAATGCCTTCAAAACAGCCCCCAACCTTCTCCTCCTCATCCTCCCACTTGTCCTCGGAATGAATGTCCTGATTTGAGGTAAAACCAAAACAATGCTCTGTTCCGTAATTTTATTTTTTAAGCTGGGCCTCTTCTAACTAACTAAAACCTGAGATTAACAATGTATTGTTCAAAAACTGTTCACTCTCACAGCAATAAGACCTGATCATACTTATATAATGTTATATAAATAACACATAAAAGTATTGCATTTATACTTATTCCTATAACAACCAAGGTCAGGTAACTTCATTATTTGCCCCATTGGAGGGTCGGAAGTGGAAAAGTGTAGAAGGGTCACACCTGCAGAGAGGAGCGGATGGGACAGGTGACCAATAACTGACCAACAGGGTATTACGTCCCATCTGCGTCATGCTCAGTATAAAGCCTGAGGGATCAAAGGGCCAACTCTCTTCCTTCAATGGCTGATGTTTGAGGAGGATCCTGTCTGTTCGTCTGCCTTTGATACTGATGAGAGCCTTCCTGACTCCACATCCTGAATCCAGCTCTGGTCCATCGCCAAGTCCAGTCTGGGACATATCTCTGCGCCTGCTGGTGATGTGATCATCATCCTGGGAGCTTGGTACATTTTCATATATACTGTATATTTTCTTGTGTTTTTTCCTTTTTTTTTTTTTTATAACTATTTTTCTTCTTATTTAGCATTTCATTATTTATCAATATTTTCATTAAAGTAGTTTAGTTCTTTTTCTAAACTCATAAATCTCCTGATCTCTTCCTCTCTTCTCATTGAAGAGGGGCGAGGGAGGGGCCATCTGTCATTCTGATTGGCCAGTGCAGCCAAAACTACAACGAGAGAGCTTGGCCTGCACTGAAGGGTAAGGTTTGTAAGGGCAGGTCACCTCTTCACCCTCTACCCAGAAAGAGTTCCCTGCACAGCCCAGCTCCTACACAGATGTGCAGGGCTAAGGGGATTCATAAGTTGATGTTGAAATCAGCCTTGCCAGGCCACACCTGAGGGCACTCATGTCTCTCACACAACCCCAGCTCCCATCAGGCAGGGCACTACAAGGACATGAGAGACTTTCAGCACCACCTCTTTCCTCCCAGGACACTGACACTGTCATCTCCTGGAAGAGGATCTTGTCCTGCAGATCCCTGTGTGTACAGCGGAAGCAGCACTGCCAGGGGACACCTGAGGGCCCCTTCCCCCACCCTCAGCCTTGCACAGACACATCCCCTCCCTCTCCTGGGTTCTTGCACAGCCAAGGAAGCTCCCTGCACCAGGGTGTCACGCACAGCACAGAGGTACAAGGCACTGTCAGAGACCTCGACTTCCTCCAGCTGCAGGAGGCTGTATTGCCCCGTGGTGGTCAGTTCAGAGGTAAAACGTCCACTGCGCTTGCGGCCATCTCTAGCCTGATAGGAGACCAGCTGACGTCCTTGTCCTTTTCTCCGCTGGTACCAGAGCAAGCTCTGAAATTTGGAAGTCTGGTATGTGCAGGTTATTTGGAAGGTTTCTCTCTGCTTCACTGTGACTTCTTCTTGCTGGGTGACGGTGACCTGTCCCATGGTGCCAGGAAGAGATAAAGGGGCAGTCACTGTGAGGGGAAAGGCTCTGAGATGTAAAACAAGACCAGATGCAAAATGTCAGTGGAGAGGACTCCCTGTGCCTTTCTCTACAGAAGAGCCCCATGGATGGAAACAGCAAGGCAGTGAGTAACTTTTGGGCAGAAGGCCTGAGACCTCAGCTCAGCACGGATCTCACAGCACAATAACACCAATTACCTCCCACAAGGATACCCCCAGAGGAGAGCTGTGCTTTCACCCAGGTCACCGTTCTCCTGCTTCCTGGAGTCTCCAGGGAACAGCCTGTTGTGTCTGGCCCTCTTGTGATGGCCCCAGGACACCTCCAGAGAGATGAGAGATCAAGGGAAGTGCAGTGAGAAGTTTCATTCTGCTGCCCCTTCCCAGTCCTCTCAGGAGGCTCCAAGGTCAGGGAAGGGAGGGAAAAGGAAGTCCAGGCACTGCATACTTGCAGGAGGAATGGATGGTCTGGGCAAGCTGCATGACATGCAGGAGAGTCCAGGAGAGACTGGGAGACCCTAAGAGTGTGAGTGGGGTGAGAGAGCTCTCGTGTCCCTGCATCAACTTGCAAACCCCTGTGCGTCAGAAAATGCATCCTGCCCAGATAGAAAAGAGCTTCTGCAATGACAAGGCTGTGAAACACTGGGCCAGCACAGATGAGAAGAGAGAGGCAGCGAGAGGTGGATGGTTGGTAAGAGAAAAGGAAAGCAAGGGGTCTGTGATGGTCAGGAGAGGAACTGTTTCTTCTCAGTCTCCTCTTTTCTATCAGTAGCAGTATCTTGAGAAAGCAGGTGCAAAGCCACACTTGTGATTTTATGTTTCCCAACATTTGCCCATAATTCACGAGCAGCTCCTGTAGAGATCTGTTGAGGGGGTGAGGGTCTGCTGGGAAGAAGAGGAATCCTGCCTCCAGTCAAAGCCAATGCTTACCCAGTGGTTGCCTCAGGAAGGCAGCGAGGACGAGATATCTGAGGTGCATGTTGAGACTGATCCTCCTGCGTGTGTGAGAGAGACTCAGAAAACCCACACGTCCCCACCAAGAGCCCTGAGAGAGCAGAGCTGCCGGAAATGACTCTGCAGGGGGAGCAAAGAATGAAATGGGGAGGAGAAAGTGCTTGCTCTTAGCAGGTCTCAGACTCCTGTGCTGTCGTCTTCTCTCGTCATGTTACTCCTGCAGCCAACACCTTCTGCCTTTCCAGGGTGAGCGTTTAAAGGGGGACAGGCCTCCACCCGGTGACCCACCTCTCAGACACATCCCCCTGTGCAACACCTTGGCACCTTGGGAGCCTCGTTTTCCCTGAGACCTCTTTCTTCTCTCTCTCCATCCTCAAGCCCTTGAGCCCTGCTGGCTCCTGCATGGTCTCTAGTCCCAAGCTCCTACCAGCACACCCAAGGCTGCAGCTCCCACAAACACACTAGTCAAGATCCCAAAACCCTGCAGGCACCAATTTTCCTTCTCAGCCCCTCAGGCACTGGGGACTTTCTTCCTCTGTTCAAAAGAAGCTATCTCAGGAACCAATTAATCATGTCTCCTGACACACTTGCATCCCATCTCATAAATCAGCTTCTGAAAAACTCATCTGGGGAACAAACACACTCAAGACCAAACAAACTGTCTTCTCACTGGACTGTAACCCTTCCATTTTCTGTTGCCTCAGCACAGGTAGGATCTGTATTTGTCCTTCCCTTATTTTTAGCATTGAACCAAACAACCAACCCAACGATCTTTAGTCTTTCCATAGCATAATTCAGGTTGGACTGGACCTGTGCAGGTCACCCACTCCAAGTCCTTGGTGGCCAACAAGAGAAGCAGCTGATTTAGCCTAAGCAGTGTTGCAGCTGCTTTTGGAGATTTCTAACCAACCCATCTGGTTGTTAGTTTTCTTCCTGGTGCTGCACTTGCAGAGCACAGCTGGAAGCTGGACTGCTTCCAAGGGAGACCTGCTGCACCTCTCCCTCCTCAGAAGAAGCTGAGGGATGCCCTAAAGGAGCTCTGCTACAGCCAAAGTGCGCCAAAGCTCCACCATCCCTGGTGCTCTCTTCACAATGACTCTCCACTCGGAGTGACTTTGCTTTTGTCCTTTGTGTTATGAAAGTTCTGCTGCATCCCAGCCTCTTTCTCTGCGTTGTCCTTCCCTGTGTGGACAGTCCCAGGTGCCCAGTGAGCAAGGTGTTAGTCTCGGGTGATCAAAGCGGAGGCCAAAGGGGATTCTTCACTGTGCTCAGGGGAAGGGTAGTGTGGGACACAGTGCTGTAGGCTCCTCCAGAGCCAGTGACCTGCCTGGCTTTGTCTCTCCCTAGAAAAGTCCTCTTGAGCATGTCCTGTGGCTGGGGAGTCTGACCAGTGGTCCGGCCCCGAGTCAGACACACCACCTCTCTCTGGCTGGAGGACATCCAGCACAGGCCTCTTCATCACTGACCTCTACTCCCCATCCCTGCAGGTTTCCTGGTCACCACTTTGCCTGGGGAGGACACCTGCCAGAAGACTGAGAAGAGAAGATCATTTCCGGATCGTGCATGACATGGGATGTTTAGGGGAGCTAGCAGATACGAGCAAAGAGAAGGACCACGGCAGCTTGTCCTGAAGTAAACATGGGAAGACAGATGGTCAGAGGGATGAGAGGAGCCAATCACATGTGACCATGTGTCTGATGCATGCATTGGCCTGGCCATGCCTGTTGCTCTGCCTTGTTTGTCCCCCTGCCAGTACTTCCCTGGAAACACAGTTATTGAGTCCAGTGGGGACCGGGAGCAGGGTTGATACTTCCCTCTGTGCCTCAGAACCTTTTGCCCATGGGCTTGAACCAACTCTGTCAGCTACTCCAGCCACACAGGGCATCCCAGGGATAGTCTGGAGCACCACAGTCTCTTCCCAGAGGCCTCCTGCCAGCTCTCACTCACCTCAGACCTCCACCCCTCAGGGCAACTCAGCCCATCTCTCTCTGACTCACTCAGCCAGTAGGAACCTGGCATCCCTTGAGGCTGCACTCAGTGTGTCCAGGGCAAGCGTTTCCCCTGTCTCCTGGGCCTCAATTCCAAAGGTGCTGACTCCTGCCAAAGGAGCTCCTGGTGTCACCACAGAGCCCCTGTGGGGAGCAACTGAAATGCCCCTGAGCTCGACATCCCTCGAGGGTAACGGTGTCAGATCCAGTGACGGTGGTTTGGGGGAAGCGCCCCGGGGCGCGGGGCCGGGCGGGGCCGGGCG